GCCCGGCTCAGCAGTAAAGGTAGCAAGAGGCTGGTAAGAGTCTCCGTCAACACACACCGCAGTCTCTCCAGAAGGCTCAAACCACACACCCACGTGCTGGCTCACGAGGGGTCGCACGCCCACCAAGTTCCGGGAGAACGAGGGGACGTGAAACCCAGTGAGAGACCCGGAGGGAGCAGCAGGACACGGTAAAGTGGTAGTGTGACGTGCAGTGACTGGTCCCGTAGTGGGATCAGCCAACGCTACAGAAACAGGCGCAGGAAGTGGTGTAAGTGTCGTGCTGTCCCGAAAGAAGCAGTGGGAGGCTCCAGAGTCCAGTGTGAACGACAGCGAAGCGTCCTCTGAGGTAGTCGCTGGTCTAGAGTCTACACAAGTACCTACACTAGCAACAGGCAACTCAGCAAGACTAGCACCTAAGCTAACAACACCAGAGTAAACAGAGTCAGAAACACTAGAGTCAACAACAGCATACATAGCATGAGGAGCACTAATCAGATCAACTAACTGCTCAGCAGACATGCCCCACAGAGCGGAGCCGTAGCGCTGAACCAGAGGAAGCCAGTCAGGAGCAGGACCGCCAACCCCGTAGGTCAACCGGACCGTGTCAGTGAGCTGAGCAAAGCACTGACCAGGGGGGTGAAAGCGGCCACAAGGGTGGCCCCGACGAGGACCTGTCTGAACCTGGTAGGGGCAGGGAGGGTAAGCAGCACCGCGCTGGGGCTGACGCAGCCCCGACCCCGGAGCCAGCTGCTGACGCTGCTGCTGCTGAGGCTGCTGGGAGGAAAGGGGCTGCTGCTGCTGCTGAAGGTGCTGCTGACGCTGAGCCTGGTACCACGCCGCTGCTCCACCTAGCGGGGCCGACAGTACAGGAGGCGACTGACGAGCTCGAGGGTCGCTGCCACCAGCAGGTGCAGTGGAGTCACCGGCCGCTGCACGAGGGGTCTCTCCAGACGCTGCACTCCCACCACCGCCAGTCGCAACAGCACCCCCACTACCTCCGTTACCTCCGCCTCCACCTCCACCGGAACCACCTTTCTTGCCCCCCCTGCCGCGGGACCGCGACGCAGTCGTAACAGCAGCCGCAGTCGCGTCAGTAGCGGCAGTGGCAAGAGAGGCAGTGAAGGTGGGTAACTGCGGGACTGTGCACCCGTGGAAGAGTGGGGGGGATACAGTACCAGAGGCGGCAGCTACCGAACGAAGGTTGCTCTCGACATCCTTGAGTGCAGACTCAAGGACCTCGATAGTCAGCTCACTAGGGTGCTTCAGCAGAAGCGCGTCACGAACGGAGGCAAGGCGGTCAGGGAGGCTAGTGGCGATGAAATAGACAGTAATCGCCATGGGGGGAGGAAGCAGTGCAAGCTGTGCCTCAGTGCAAGCAGCGCGGTAACTAGCGTCAAGCGAGCGGAGGTGAGCGATCAAGTCAGCAGAGCGCTCAAACGAGGCAAGATCAGGAAACAGGAACGGGAGGAAAAGACGGCCGAGAGAGACAGTAGCGGGAGTAGAGTAGCGGGCCTTAATCGCAGTGAGGTACGCAGCAGCGGTGCGAACCTGAGTAAAGTGGACCTCCTCGGACTCAGGGAGGAGGCTGCTGAGTGCGATGCAGGCCGCAGCGTCACGCGACGTCCAAGCCGTCCGGTCAGCGCGCTGACGGGCAAAGCGAGCCGTAGCAGCATCGTCAGGAGCAGGGCCTAAAGCTGTAGGCTCGGGGGGCTCGGGGAGGTCACCAGTAGCGTGTGACCAGAGGGTCTCGCCCCCCTGGACCTGACTCTCTAACAGACGACGAGCGCGAAGAAGCCAGACGGAAAAGTCAAGGGGTCTACCGTCGGCGTCGAAACGAAGAACTCGCGGAGTCGCCATAGTGAGAACGAACAGGCGAGTAACAACCGGGGGGGGAAGAGGACTCAGTCGCAGCGGAAGAGTGGGCTAGGACGACGGGCCAAGACGTAGGGTAGGGCAACGGGCCAGGGCCTAGGGTAGGGCGACGGGCCAGGGCCTAGGAAGGGCGACAGGCCAGGGCCTAGGGAGGGCGACGCGACGGGGGAAAGGTCAGGGCGACGCGACGGGGCAGGGCGACGCGACGGGACAGGGCGACGCGACGGGGCAGGGCGGCGCGACGGAGCAGGGCGACGGGACAGGGCAGGGCGACGCGACGGGGTAGGGCGACGCGACGGGACAGGGCGACGGGACAGGGCAGGGCGACGCGACGGGACAGGGCAGGGCGACGCGACGGGACAGGGCGACGCGACGGGACAGGGCGACGGGACAGGGCGACGGGACAGGGCGACGGGACAGGGCGATGTGACGGGACAGGGCGACGGGACAGGGCGACGGGACAGGGCGACGTGACGGGACAGGGCGACGGGACGGGGGGGGGTAACAGGCAGGCGCGACGCGACGGGGGGAACGGGCGCGACGCGACGGGGGGGAACGGGCGCGACGCGACAGGGGGAACGGGCGTGACGCGACGGGGGGGGAACAGGCGTGACGCGACGGGGGAGATGACGCTAGGCTCGGTACTAGGCGCGGTAACTACGAAACTGGTACGAACGAGAGGTAGGATCAGGCTCGGGAGGTACGAACGGAGAACGGAGGAACGGGATCCCACAGGATCCTAACCTAGCTGATACCATGTCAGAATGAGGAATGAGTGTTGCATTGATGTTGGTTGGGGTACATATGACAAACCCTAACTTCTGTACCCCCTAAGACAAACCTCACTACAGGCTACAACATTTGACAAGATCCTCCGGCCATTCTTACACGTGATCGTGTGCCGGACCCCACTTTCCAAATGTCGCAGTTTTCGGAGATGGCAGTGCGAAGGATTCGTGAGTCGCTCTCATACCGTACCATGTTTCGATCAAAAAGGGATCGTAACCAGGATCACCTCAGGTAGGTTCGCACAATTCTAGTGAAGTGGTGGTGGGCCCTTGACCTCAATAGCAGAGTGAATGTAGATGCTTGAGATAATAAAAATATGCAGTACAAGGAATATAAATATGAGTACAGGGGAATTCGAAACGACCTAACTAGCCATGTACTCTAAGCGGTACATCCCCTTATTGCAGCGAAATCCAACCGTGCGACTCCGAGTGGTTACGTAACTGTTCGGGCAGAATCCTCGCCACTGCTGCTGTCTGCCCGACGGTCCAGATGCTCTTCGTAACCGTCTGTCCCTTCGCGTTTCTTCTGCCTTTTCGTCTTCACTCTCGATAGTGCGTGCTTCGGCTTTGCTACGGTGAGGAGTGCGCAATAGTGTTTTTCATTAACCACTATTCGTAACACACTCTAACGATCAAGTCACTTTGCGTTTAGCTAGGTAGTCTGTAAATATTTTTATACAAATTACGTATTTGTGATACCATTTAGATGTCCATGCATAATGCTAAGATCCATTCTACTCTCACATCATCATAACGTTTGCATCGAATAAGAGAACAGAAAACCTGTACAATGTCAAACACAGAAGCTACAAGTGTGTGACCTCTGATCCGAAGCCCACGGTCAGTGTGCACCCACAGCCTGCCCATCCACCACATGCTTCTCCTCCGTGCCCTGCTCCTCCACCCCGTCACCCGCCCCCTGCTGCATGTTCTCTTCCTCTCCTAACCCCTCCTCACCACCACCCACACCTTTTGCAGTAGGGCTGCCTGCCGCACTGGCACTGGCACTGGCTGTGCCATTGGCGCTGGCAGCGGTGCTGGATTGGCGGTGGCGCCAGTCAGAGAAGGACGGGGAGATGGAAACAGGGGAGGTAGCGGAGGCAGAGGGTGAGGAGGAGGAAGGGCTGCTGGGATGGGAGGAAGGGGCTGCGAGGGGGAAAGCGGAGAGAGACAGGGTTGCAGGTGCCATGGGGGGTGTGACAGTGTCTGCTGTTCCTGCACTGCTGCCATGCGAGCTCCTGGTTGCCCCTTGTGCTTCCTCCAAACCTTGTGCGTTTTCTGCTCCTGCTGAGCCTGCTGCTGCTCCCGCCGAGCCTGCTGCTGCTCCCGCCGAGCCTGCTGCTCCCGCCAAAGCTGCTGGTGCTCCTGCCATTCCTTCAACCAGACTCACTCGTGCTTCCTGTGACCCACACTCAAAACCATGCTGCTGCTGCTGCTGCTGCTGCTCCTGTTGCTGCTGCTGTTGGTGGTGTGGCACACGAGCATGTGCATGGGGAGCAGCAGCACTGGAGGCAGCAGGCTGCATCGCCACATCACTCACACCCACCGCACCTGCACTCCCCGCCCGGAACATATGCCCCGCCATGCCTCCCCCATGCCCCATGCTCACACCAATACCCATCTCCAAGCCCAACCCCAAGCTACTCCCTCCACCAGCGTGCACCGCCCCGCCTTCAAGCACAGACCGCATGGTAGCAGCCCTGACAGCCGTGCTGGGCGCACAGTGCATGCTGCTTTCCAGTACCAGCCCCACCACTCGCTCCTCCTCCGCCTCCTCCTCTCCCCCGCTGCCCCTACTCACGAGGAATCCACCATCTGCCGGCCCAGGAGCGGTCGGAAAGGAAGGTGCGTGGAAGTGTCCAGGAGCAGGTGCGGAGGTGGGAGCAAAGAGGAAGTGAGTGATGGGGGTGGCGGAGGAGGGCGAGGGGTAGAAGTGGGAGCGCAGATGGGAGAGGAACCCGTGGCCTTGGAATGGGGGGGAGGTGGGTGACAGCACAGGGTGAGCATTGCTGGGAGGAAATGGCAGGTACAGCCCAGGGGCAGAAGCTGGCAGGCTGGATATTCCTGCACCTGCTGCTGCTGCTGCTGCTGCTGCAGCTGCTGCTGCTGTGGTGGTGGTGATGGTGGCAGCGCCATGTGCTTCTGTGACAAAGTGGGAATGAGCCAGCTCCGCATGTGCTGCCCTCCCTGCTGCCATCTCCTCACTCCCTGCTAGCTCCACACGCCCTTGCCCCCCCCCTTCCCCTGCCAACCCCTCTGTCCTTTCTTCCAGCCCCACCACCCTGCCACTGGAAGCCGTCCGTAGCAGCGGCCCTCCTGCTCGCATCCACGCCAACATCGCATTCTCCCTCTCCCTCTCCCGCTCCCTCTCGCCATCACTGTCGCTGCTCTCACCCCCACCTGCCCCTGCCCCTGCCCCTGCCCCGGCCCCTCCCCCGCTGTGACCACTGGCCAATCCCACGGCGCCAGCTGTCGCCGAGGCAGGCAGGGCAGCGGCAGCAGCAGCGCCGTCCTCATCCAGGGACCCCCAGGAGCTCTCCCGGGCAAACTGGTTCCACGAAGGGATACGCTTCCGGAACGACCCCCGCCCTGCACCGCCGCTTCCCCACACCCCACCTGCACCCGCACCAGCGCCAGCGCCAGCGCCCACCGGAAGCCCTGTCACCGTGCCTGCTGCTCCTGCTCCTGCTCCTGTCCCTGCTCCTGCGCCGGCCTGCGCCCCTCCCCTGCCCCTCTCTTCCCCGGCTCCTGCAGCATGCGCAGCAGCCATGAGCGGCAGCGACGGGTGCGAGAGCGTGCGGGCAGCAGGGGACAGCGCGGGCCCAAGGGTGGCGCCGCGGGCGGCAACAACGGTGGTGGGAGGAGGAGTGCGGTGGCGGTGCAGGATGGAGACGCACTCGTCCAGCATGAGCTCCACTCCGCAGTGTGCGCGGATGGCGCTCAGCCGCTCCCACGTGCCGCGCCGGCCCTGCTGGATGGCTGCTCGCAGCTCCGATGGCGTGGGGTTCTGAATTATCTTGGCGAACTGGGGTGGGGACGAGGGGTGGGTAGGTGGGACAGGAGGAAAAAGAGTGAGGAGGGAGGCGCACAGGAGGGTGGCAAGCGACGGTGTGAATGATAGCATGGAGTGGGGTTGTGAATCATCTTGCCGAACTGGAATGGGGGAAGGGGATAGTGGGTGGGAGGGTGGGTGGAAGGCGGAAAGATCGAGAGAAGGTGGGGAGGGAGGCCCACAGAATGGTGGCAAGCGAGTGACAGCGTGAAGGGGAAGAATGAGCTGTGACACTACTGTGCTGCTGCTGCTACCCATGTCAGCACACTTGCCTTGCCTGGCTGTAGCCTGCCTGGTTGCATGACATGCAATTTAACCCTTCATCCACCTGTTGGAACAAATGTTTTCAATTCCTCCCCACACAGCCACCCCATCTCCCTCACTCCAAAAAGCCAAATCCCCCTTCTGCCACACGACCACACACCCCTCCCCTCCCAAGACCACTCCACTGGCGCCGCGTCGCTTCCCACCGCACGGCACCGCACTGTACCTGTGCGAGCGTGGCGTGCATGACAATGGTGATGTCGCCCTCCCACGGCTGTGCGAACAGCTTGGCCAGCCCGCCCACCCGCCACCCCACGGCCAGCGCCTGCTCACACCGGTGCTTCAACTCCATCTCCGCTAACTGCGCCAACTGCACAGGGGCAGGCGGACGAACCATAGGGGGCGGGTGGAGAGGGAGGGAGGGGGTGAGGGGGAAAGGATGAGGGGTGGGTTGGGGAAGGGGAGGGAGTTTGAGGTGGGCGGGAGAAACGACGACAAGGGGGAGAAGAGGCGTTGCAGAGGGTGACGACTCGAGGGTGGAGTGAGTTGGAAGGCGAACGGGTGCCATGGGGGGGCGGGGGGGGGGGAGAGGTGTGGTGTGGAAGCTTCAATAATTATCCAATAAGGGTGGCGCCATGGAGAAATGCGTTGCAGCACTGCCAGGTCATACCCAAACACCTCGCCCACACCACCACCATATCGACTCCCCTCCCCCTCTCCCTCACAACACCATTCCCTCCCCCATCCCTCCCCCATCCCTCCCCCTTCCCGCTTCCTCCCCAACCCCCTTCCCCCACTCCCCCCCTGCCCTCCTCCTCCCTCTCCCCCCCCGATCAGTACCTTGGCGGCCCAGTCCCCTCCGTAGATGCGGCAGGCGTTTTTGAGGCGGAGCAGGGGGGCGATGTGGGGGTTGGCCTGGGAGACAATGAAGTGGTTCACGTTGAACTGCTCGCGCAGCTCCTGCATGGGAAGGTCGCTCTCCAGACTGCCGTCCCGCCACGCCCTCTGCTTCACCGCCGCTGCTGGCTCCTCCGGCCCTGCCTGCACGTGTGGGAGTCAGAGGAAGAGAAGGTAAGGTACACGGTGGAGCCCTCAAGTTCACGGCCTGGTCTGGTCTGGTCTGGCTTGGTTAGGCACTTCTCGCGAAGCACTGCACTGCAAGCTAAGATAGCATGTTCACGAGCCTTCTTCCATTTCCCAACCCCCTGCCAATGCTTTCGCAGCACCTCCCAGTGCTTCTCCCACCCACCCACCACTCCCATGTGCGCCCACTCAGCAGACCCGTCCTATCACACTTCCCATCCCCACCCACCCACTACCACTCCCACTGTGGTCTGAGCGAGATCAACACACAAGTCACTGACCTCGGAGGGCATGTGGAAGGGCACGATGCGGCCGCTGCTGTCTTTGGCCATGAGCTCCTGCGCCTCGAACAGCCCTGGGAACGCGCACGAGGCCGTCACGGCGCTCCAGATCACCACGTGCGGCGCGCTCAGGTACGTCAGCAGGCGGTGCGGCTCCTGTGGTCGCATGGAGCACACTGGGATGCCCAGCACTCGCCCTGCTCACACGCACGCACGCACGCATTATCCCACACCCAGCACCCAACGGCAGCAGGCAGCAGCCAGCAGGCAGTCGGTAGCAACCAACAACAAGCATGCAGAGGGCAGGCATACAGGTCAAGATACGAAGACAAACATGAACACAAGTTGCGAGAGTAGGACGGTACAGTAACTGTTCTTATTGCATCATACGAAGAATCGGCGCCCTTGCCCATGCGCCCTTGCCCATGCGCCCTTGCCCATGCGCCCTTGCCCATGCGCCCTTGCCCATGCGCCCTTGCCCATGCGCCCTTGCCCATGCGCCCTTGCCCATGCGCCCTTGCCCATGCGCCCTTGCCCATGCGCCCTTGCCCATGCGCCCTTGCCCATGCGCCCTTGCCCATGCGCCCTTGCCCATGCGCCCTTGCCCACACGCCCTTGCCCACACGCCCTTGCCCAATGCTGTTGCGCAGTTCCCAACGTTATCCAGCGAACGCAACGCAAGCACACCTGAGAGGTCGTATGCTTCCTGGAAGGTGAGGTCCCCAATGAGCTGCCTGAGGCGGCGCTGCAGCACGCCAATCTCCCCGATCGCCCCGCGCACGAGCAGGCGCTGCGCCGTGGCGAACACGGACCCCATGCTCTCAAAGAACGTCAGGCTCTGCATGTTCTCCTCGAAAAACGCCTGCAGCTCCGACCCTGATCTCGTCGCCACGAACGAGCAGATAATCGACCCTACGGACGCGCCTGCTAGCACGCGCGGGAGCATGCGGTGCTCTATGAGGGTGCGCACGACGCCCAGGTGGAACGCGCCCAGGGCGGCGCCGCCGGAGAGGAGGAGCGCGGTGCGGCCGAAGGCGTGGCGGGTTTCGTGGATGAATGCGAGCTTGGCGTCGCGCGGGAAGGCGTCCGCGTGCGAGTCGCACACGGCGCGCAGGTGGAAGCGCACCTCGTCTATGTACTCCTCGATTAGTCGCGGCATCTGGCGGGGAGAGTGTAGGGAGGTGGGACGTAGAAAGGAGGGGGAAGGGGGAGGATTGGGAAGCGCGCAGATGGGAGCGCGCAGGTGGAAGCGCACCTCGTCTATGTACTCCTCGATTAGTCGCGGCATCTGGCGGGGTGAGGGGGGAGGGAGAGGAACGGAAAGGGTGGGGAGGAGGGGAAAGGGGAGAGCAACGGACGGAGCGAGCGGACAACGTACAGTGTAACCATCCATCCACTCGCTCACATCTCGCCCGTTCGTCAACCTCCGTCGCGCCTGCAGCGGCCCTCGCCTCACCTCCAGAGGCCGTCGCCTGGCGTGCACCTGGTCTCTGACGTATCACCTGCACGGCGGGTCCAGGGCGTTGCTCACCTGCAGGCGGCCCTGGTGCAGCTGCGGGTTGCACATGTTGCCGAGGTTGCGCAGCAGGTCGGAGCGCATGGCGAACACGATGCCCTCCACGCCGCCCTCCAGCCGCCGCCGCCGCAGGTCCACCAGCTTGGCGCGCAGCAGGTCCTCGTCGTATAAATCCGAGTCCTGCCGGAGGCGGGAGTGGACGAAGGAAGGGACGGGGAGAGAGGGGGAACGGGAGGGGAGGAACGGTTGAATGGGGAGGGTGGGGGGGGTTTGTGGGTGAAGGGGAAGGGAAGAGCGCAGCGTAAATGAGCTGGGAGACGGAAGGACTGGGAGACCGAGGGACTACGGCGGCAAACGGAACAAAACGGGTGCGGGGCGACGAAGAATGCGCAGCTCGGCGCGCAGCACGTGTTCGCGGAGCAGCGCGCGGAGCCCCCCGGCGATGCCATGGGAGTGGCGGTGTGGTGGAGGGGACGACACGAGGGCGGGGCGAGACAGGCGACCGCGACGTGGGGGTTTGGACCGCTATGAAGCATGGACTCGCGCATGGGACTGGTATTAAGTTGACTCAAAATATCAGCCTTGGCCGTCATGAAGTGTCAGTCCCCGCGCATGTGACTACCGCCCGCGGCACGGGTCCCAAGGCTGCCGTCGCGTCCACTAACGACGACCCTGGAAAACTGCAAGTCTTTCCTCGTCCCCTCTCGTCCCTCCTCATCTCACTTTCCTACTCCCCCTCCTTTCCTCTCCTCTCCTCCCTTCATTCGCTCCATTCGGCCTCACCCGTCGCTCGTCCTCACCCGTCCCTCGCCCGTCGCTTGTCGCTCGTCCTCACCCATTCGGCCTCACCCGTCGCTCTCACCCGTCGCTCGTCCTCACCCGTCCCTCGCCCTCACCCGTCGCTCGCCCTCACCCGTCGCCTAGGTTGGTACTTCTCGAGCATCGCCGCGGCGTGCGCCCACTCGTCGTACGTGAGCGCCGTCGCCATGAGATTCGCCCAGAACTTGCGTCGCACAGCCATTTCCGCCTTGAACGATCGCAGGCGATATCGCCTGACGATGAGCGCCCCGAGGACGACCGTACCCAGTACGAACCCAGGGTTGCGCGGGTTGAGGCTCGTCCATGCTCTCCGAACCAGCATCGCAAGGAACTTTTGAAGCTTCGCAAATCGGTTGACGAGCCGATGGCGAAGGATCGCAAGGAGTCGCTGAAAGGAGTCGCAGAAGATGAGGCGAATGGCGACTGCTCGCTCGGCGAGAGTCGCAGGCGCGAGTCTGAAAAGGTCGACGACTGCATCCTCTGCGGACTCCATGGCGTGGGAAGATGATAGCGACGAAGCTCGAAGCAAAGCTAAGCTACCTACTTCGACAAAACCTACAAGTCAGAGGCTTCACGGATACTAAAGCTTACAACTTCTCTCGGCCATTGCTTGTCCTCGATCCTGCCCTGCAGACGTAAAGGTATGTTCGCAGATAATAATACACCTCATGCCAGCTCAACGTCTTGTTGTTATGACTCACGACACCTCATGCCTATCTATTACTCCTGACGTGGAGAAACATTAGCGAGCCCAGCAAGCACTTTTTTGTGGTTCCCGCTTCCTCTCCACCAACCTGGTGGGGCAAACCACTGATGCTGCCGGGGCTGGCTGGCAGGGCTCCACCAACCAGAAGGCCTAACGAACCTTTCAACCAACCAATCAGCTCTCCGCCGCAGCCGGAGCCCTGGCTCGGGCGTCCAAGCAAGCTGATGTCTTCCCCCTACCTCTCATGTCCGCTTCGGCGCTGCCACATTTGATTTGTTTCGGCCATTATCTCCGATACTCATATTTTTCCAGAGCGCGTTCTCAGGTGTGATCAACCTGGACTTTCTCAACGTTGATTGGTCATCGCTTTTTAGTCACATTTCTCACGCTGGTTGAACTCATTAGGAAGTGACAAAAACAAAACCATCCAGTTTACCCTCCCGACTTGGATATATTGTCAGAATGTTATATTTGTTATCTAGCCTGCAATGGGGTACTCTATAGCGAGTATAACCCCTTAGGGTTTCGTATATGTATCCCCTTGCTTGCTAGTGCAAACCCCTCTTTTGCCTAACTTCTTCCTTGCCTAGCTAGGTTAGTCCTAGCTATGGCTCTTACCGCTTACCACTTACTTTCACATATATGTACGGAAATTAAGGTAGTAAGAGAACGAAGCCCATATAATTCACTTGGTAGTGCTCAGTAGCGCAACCGACCGCTAAACAACGCTACCGAAAGCACTAGACGACACTACTGATACCTATTCGGGCATGACAGGAAACAATAAAACCCCTAGGGAACCTGGATGCATTTTCGAGAGGGGTCAACCCTAAACACGGGAATGGGCATTGTTTTTAGGGTTGATGCCCGAGCCGCATCCCAATCCGAGGTGGGTATTTTTTTATTTTTTGTCAAGTGGGTTGCAGTATGTTTTCCAAAATATTGGGTGGCTTTCGGTATTTAGGGTTGATCCTTCCTGGAAATCATATAGTTTCGCTACGGGCTTTTTTTTTTTTTTTGCAATTCCTAGAATTCTTTTTTTTAGTGACTGTATACAAACATGAGCAAGAATAACTTCACACTATGTCGAGAAACTGTGTTTCTGTTGGTGATTACACGTGAGAACGCGCTCAGGCGAAATCTGAAAATCGGAGATAATGGCTGGATTTGTTTGGTGCTTTGTTTGGATTTTTTAACTGCCAACTTCATACATACTCATATTAGTCCCGAGCGGGTTCTCATGTGTAATCAACCAGGACTTCCTTGACGTTGATTGGTCGTCGCTTTTTAGTCACATTGTTTACGCTGGTCGAAATGTTTGGGAGGTGACAAAAAGAGAATTATCTAGTTTACCCTCCCGACTTGGATTTGTTAAACTAAAATACGTAAATTTATGACAGGGCAGAAAAATTAAACCCCTATAGAATCTGGACGCATTTGCGGGAGGGATCAACCCTAAAAACGGTAAAGGGCATTGTTTTTGTGGTTGATGCCTCCCGAGTCGCATCCTTTCTCGATTGGGTTATATTTTTAGGGTCAAGAGGGTGCAATATATTTTTCCTGAAGTGGGCAGCTTCCCGTAGTTGAGGTTGATCCGTCTCGAAATTCATATAGGTTCACTACAAGTTTTTTTTTCAGGTGTTGCATTTTCTGTTGTAACTGTATTCAGAAAACAACAAGAAACGCCTACTACTATATCGCAAAACTGTGTTTCTGTTGGTGATTACACCTGAGAATCTGCTCGGGAATACTTTGAATATCTATGATATTGGCCGATTTTCGAACAACAAAAAACGCTCGACGGGTTGGGAGCTTCAGAAAACTCGGAATAGGGCGTGGAACATCTGAGACTGGTTTTCCAAGAAAACAGTACGGTTGGAAGGTTACCACTCTGAAACATACTATGAACTTAGGGCATGCTGCAAGTGCAAAATCCAAAGGATCGTGGCGTCGAACCGACCCGCTATACCGAGCACGACAGTAATTCGTTGGCTCGGTGTGTGGGCCTTGTCAGAATGTTATAGTTGTTATCTAGCCTGCAGTGGGGTACTCTATAGCGAGTATTGTCAGATTAATATGACATAGTTGCTGTAGGCTATAGTGGGGTAGCACATATGGGGTACAGGGTTTCTAGGGTTGTATTTGTACCCAATCTTTCCTTAGTCATTCCATTCCTGTTCACTTGTTTCACATGGTATAGAGCGGGTCCTTCCTAAGGACCGTTTTTTTAGGGCCCACCGAAGCGCGCCCCGAGGCGCGCATTTTTTTTAGCGACCCCTCGGGTCGCCATTTCCCTCGCGGCCCCGCTGCCCCTCCTGATCGCGGCCCCGCCGCCTGCTTGACGCGGCCCCGCCGCCTCCACTGACGCGGCCCCGCCGCCGGCTCTGACGCGGCCCTGCCGCCTATGAAGCAAGGAAAACAGGAATGAAATGACTAAGTCAGAGTTGGGTACAAATACAACCCTAGAAAGCTGTACCCCATATGTGCTACCCCACTATAGCCTACAAACATGCATCAGCTATGATAATCTGACACACCCCCATAGGCAGAGTGGGGGAGAACAAGGGGTCACAAGACCAGTCAAGCAAAGCAAAGCAAGCTCAGGGTGGATCACAAAGTCACCACACAGTCCGAGCACAAGAGCAGGGCCAGAGGCCAGTTCAAATGCAGAAGTACAGACCTATATATAAAACTAGACAAGCAAGAGCAGGTATATATATATGTCACAGTACAAGTGAAGTCAAGAGGAGAGCAAGTGAGGCAAGACAGGCACAAGACCCAGCTGGGTGCAAAAGCGCTGATGGTCACAAGGCGCGAGTGCCTTGGTGAACACATCAGCAGTGTTGGCCTCAGAGGCTACGTACGCAAGTCACAACTGACCACGCTGCTGCAGCTCACGAGCAAGGAAGTAGCGGAGAGCAATGTGCTTCGTTCTGTGCTCCAAGCGCTGCTCTCGACACAAGGCCAGCATGGCCTTGTTGTCTACGTACAGCACTGGAGGAGAACGAGGCGGCTCTCCAAGGTCCGTCAGCAGGTAGGTGAGCCAGCGAAGCTCCTGTGCAGCCATGGCCCCGGCGTAGATCTCAGCCTCACAACTGGAGCCGAGAACCGAAGACGAGCGAGTAGACCGCCACGAGACAGAGCCGGAACCAAGGCTGAAGGTGTAACCCTGTGACGACCGCTGCGTAGCCTGGTCGTCAGCCCAAGAAGCGTCCGCGTGGCCGGTAAGGACCACTGGACTCCGCCCTCCAAGCACTAGCCCCATGCCCGACGTACTGCACAGGTAGCGCAACACCCTCTTCGCTGCAGCCATGTGCTCTGGTCTGTGTCTCCCAGGAGCAACATAGCGTGCAAGAATGCTCAGAGGGTATGCAAGGTCAGGTCGTGTGCAGGTCATCAGGTACATGAGGCAGCCAACAAGCTCTGCATACGGACCACTCGACTCTACGGACTCATCCGAAGGCAGAGCTGAGAGTGAGTGGCGAGTAGGCAGAGGAGTGGCCTGAGGCGAGGAGTACGTGAAGCCGAAGCGCTGAAGGACCTGCTGCACCATGTGTGACTGAGTCAAGGTAATGGTGCGGCGTGCTCTGTCCCGAGTGATCTGCAAGCCAAGGTAGCTGCGCAGTTCACCCAGGTCTGTGCACGTGTGTCTCTTCAGCAGCTCGGACTTCACGTAGGCGAGTCCAGCAGTGTCCGCTGTGGCAAAGACCAAGTCGTCGACGTACACGAGGATGTAGAACGGCGGCAGGGAAGTGTCGGTGCGAAGAAACAGCGACGGGTCAGCAGTAGAAGGAGCAAACCCAAGGGCCGCAAGCGTAGTCCTCAGTGTGTCGTGCCACTCATGCGATGCCTGGCGGAGACCGTAGACTGGCCGTCGGAGGCTCCACTGGGTGCCAGGAGGGAAAGTCCCAGTGAAGCCAGGTGGACGGCGAAGCCAGATCTCCTCGTGCAGGCTACCCTGCAAGAACGCAGTGCTGAAGTCGAGAGAGTGAAGCTCGTAGTCGCGCTGAGCGGCTATGTGCAGCAGCACCCGGAGAGTAGTCATCTTCGGGGTGGGAGAGAAGGTCTGAAAGTAGTCAACTCCCTGCCGCTGACTGAAGCCACGAGCAACGTACCGTGCCTTGAAGACAGATGGAGAGCCCTGCGGCCGCTTCACCCTGAAGATCCACATGCCACTGACGATGTTCGCCCCAGGAGGGGGAACCGCGTCAACGTAGGTGCCTGTGGACTTCCAGGAAGCCATCTCTGCATCCATAGCTGCCTGCCACTGAGAGGAGTAGGGACCCTCTACGGCCTCCGCGTAAGAACGCGGAGTCGGGATGTCTAGTGCATCCGGGTCTCCCTCAGGGGCAAGCAGTACAGACGCGAGATGAGGTGAAGCAGCCGCTAGACACTGTAACTCCTCCTGCCTGTCCTCTAGGACGTCCGTGCCAAGAGCACACTCACCCCCGACGGACGGAGGACAGACAGACGCAGACTCAGCAACAAGACTAGCAGCGTAGTCGAGACGACAGCGAGCAGCAAAGTCGACGAGCTCAGCGACTAGAGCAGACGCAGAAGTGGACTCAAAAGAGGGGTCAGTGACGACAGTAGCAAGCAGACGCGTGACAGTAGGA